ACACTAACCTCACTCCTTTGTAACAACTAAGGCAACAATGTAATTAATTCAGAAAATCTTTTCAGGACCCCACCTTGATGTTTCGGGACCCCACTTTGGGTCCCGACCCCAACTTTGGGAAACACTGCTTTACGGCAATGAGTTTCATTAATCCCACCCGGTTCCAGCTACATTCTTGTGACATCCTCGGCTGATGTTCCAAGTACGTCGAGTGAAGATTTGACGTCAGCAGACTGCAGGAGTTCAGGGGGGGAGCTACCTCAAATGGACTGGATTTATGGGCTCTGACTCGACCTTTGCTTTTTTTGGAAAACAAGGCAGAGCATGGTGAGCTGTAGTCATTTTTGTGTTTGTTAAAGTTGATTAACTGTTAGTTGTTCATCTAATGAATACTTTAATGCTACATGTGCTACATACTGCTACAGTACAATATAAATAGTTTCTCTTATAAAAACTAGTTTCACGTTTGTAACAAAAAAAGAAGTACAAGAGGAGGCTACAGAAGGAATCAACACTTCCCTATCCCTGCTGCCGGAGTGAAAAACCCCACTGATGCGTTCTGTCACAACAGATCTGACACCAGCGACACCGAGCTCCGGAGCCATGTGAGACTTTGGACCAAAGTCTAATGTCTTCCAAATGTAGCTGTTATGAGATGGAAAAAGTGGTGCAGAGCTGTGAGGAGTGGGTGGTGGGGGGGAGGTGAGTCGAGGTGTGGCACAAGTGAGTGTTGAAATCTTCCATCTGGGCCAATTACCGCGCCGAGGCTGCAGCCGGAGGTTTAACCGCAGGGCCGAGTGAGACGGGGGGGCTGTCACCGCGTCTCCTTCATTACGGGCACCAGGAGCTGTCGCTGCTTGTTGGTGTTTAAAGAGAATAACCCGAAGATCTTAGAGGAGAGGTTTGGTCAATTGGAGACACTTCCTGGCAGCGAGCTCGAGATGGTGCAAACGAGAGGACGGACGAGGAGTCAGGTGTGAGCGGCGGAGTGGGGGGGACAAACGTCATCCCGCTGCACCCCATCACTGAACGTGGCTCCTGCTCAAGATCATAGCTGTTAATAAACGAGCGGGCGACGCTCAGAGGACTCAGCACTTGAAATGTGGCCAGTTCACGAGGCTGAATCAAATTAAAGATACGTGGCAAACAGATTTCAGATCGAATCAGTGGAATAAAAAAAGACTTTCTGAAAACCTATTA